GTACGCAATGTAGTCGGACTTTGTTGTTGGGAACAAATAAGTTAAGCGCCTCTGTCGTGTTAGTACTCAAGACACAAAACGAAGCAGCTCAAGTCGAAGCAGCGCGAGTCAAAACGAGGTTAACGTAACCGTCGGAGGTTACGGGAAAGTCAAAGGGCAGCGACCTTTGACCTGACGCAGCGCGACAGCAAGGACAAACAACTGACTCGACATTGAGCAGTTGCCCGAGTCGCACTGTATCGAACCGCAACAGTAAAATTAGTTATAATGTCTCTTCGTATTCTCTGTACTCATCTATTTATATTCTTGTATCTCTTTGCTTTTATTAACTCACTTTTGCCTTCACATACTAGCGCAAGGTGGTTCAAGAGCTTTATTCAACGCTTCCGCTATTACAACATCTACTCAGACTTTAACTCTACAAAGATCCTAGGGCGTTTCAGCCCAACATTTGTAAGGAATGCCGAGAAAATTCCTTACAACTTTGAAGTAGGTTGGGTTGCTAGATATAGAGAGCCTTTTTTTTGAGAAGCATGTGAAGAGACGTGCCCTTCGCCGAAGCATGTAACCCTTCGCCGATGTCCGCTCGAATTTCCAGGCGACGTGCCCTCAAGGCGAAAAAACGCAGACACGCAAAACTTTCAATTTACCTTTCTGTGAGGATCGTGGTCGTGGTCCCTGTCAAACAGGCCCCTTCTCCTTAGGGCGTGTGAAATCGCCGCACTTAAAAATTCGGCCGCTAGCCAAATGACCGAATTGGCGACGGTAACCCGCTGGAGAAAAAATCGATAACAATCGCGACCGTCGTTAATTTCGCCAATAAAAAACGAAATTGAGGGCCGTTTTGAAAGTCGACTCGTATCCGACACCATGTCGACTCCAATTCGGCCAAGTAGTCGACACCGTGAGCGACTGTCACGTACGACGTCGCACGGTCTCGCAGAACGATTGAAATTTTTTAACCTGTCCAATCAGAGTTTTCGCCGTCAAAAGTGCGACCCCGTCTTACATACGTTCCTACTGTAGCAACTGCAAATTTTACAGCTTTTTGAAACCGGCCTGAAATTCGGCCCTCAAACCTGTAAAGTTTGCAAATCTGCAATTAGTGGCTGTAAATGTGACGACACGAAGTCGACCCCGGCCAAAAGCAGATTTCGCAAATTTGCGGGGATTTTACACGCCCTTAGAGTTCCCTTGCATGTACAGCTGGTTCCTTGAGATTCTCGCGGCAGCAACCATGTGGCCTTACGATAAGAGTATGGCTAACCCTTTGATCGGCTCCCGAGATTTTACCTCTGCGGTAGCGACCGTTGCGATGGTTCCCCCTAACCCGATCGAGCTGTATAAATTTCGCAGCGCACCTCCTTCACAAACCCCACGCCTTTTCCACGGCAAACCTCGTTCACCTCCCCATCCACCACGGTTGCTTTCGCTTCCAGCCGTCCAGCGGAGATAGCGGCGCGCCATGGAGTCGCTGCCCCCGGACGTGGTCTACACCGTGCTCCGCCTCGCGCAGCTCTCGGGGCTGCCGATCGCGCGGCTCGCGTGCGTGTCGACGGGGTTTGCGCGGATGGCGAAGGAGCATCTCTGGAGGTGGCACTGCCGCGACCAACTCGCTCTCGACGCATCCCCGAGCGACGCGCGACGCTCTGACTCCGAGGCTGTACCTGATGCTGCTGTAGCTGATGCCGTTGATGACGAAGCCGCTGCTAACAGGGTCAGCGGTGAAGATCCGAAATTTAGTCGCGAGCCGCTGGATCGCATGCTGCGTAGCATGAAGAACGAAGAAACTCTCAGCCTGGCGAAGCTCGTGAACGTGTGTCCGGGCGTGCGACCCTCGCTGCAGCGAGGCAGGGTGTACAAGGCAATGAACTGCGGGTGTAGCGACCGCAGCGAGTGCGCGTGCTGGGAGCCTCTGGCCAGTCCGGAAGGCTATTCCAGTGCGCCTCACTGCCACTGCCTCAGCAAGTTTGAGATCATGGCTGTCAACCGCACTGGCGCTCCAACGGTTCATTTCCTGATATTTGGGTGCTATACGCATTCAGGCGAGGAGCGCAGCGACATGCCATGTGTTCTGATTCGTGGAATTGTTATGGACTTTAAGAGCTCCAAGTACGGTCGATGGTGTTTCTTTGCTTGCTTTCCTTAGGTGACATACAAAAAAGGCGCCTAAGGTGTGAGCTACTTGTTCCGTATAGCTTTCCGTACCACGCGGGTCAGTCTCCATTTACACGTACGGTATGTCTTGCTGAACCGTCCTGTATGGTTGTTTCCCCTTGTCTGATTTGATGGATTGTTTTCATTCACGCCCTTGTAGCGACCCTTTTTTTTTTTGCTTCATATGTGATGCAAAAAAACGGATCGCTACAGTTGGCGTCAGTGAAGGCAGTTCCTCAAGTTGGAACACGGGGGGAAAATAAGTTATGCCCGTTGTCAATGATGCATGTCATGTTCGTGTCCTCCTGCCCTCATCAACTAGCACACACAGCCCTATTGATGCCTCTTTGCCCCTTCATTCACATGCGCTTGCCAACAGGATGTACGAGTTGGCCTCCCAGTCCCCCTTCATTTGCGACGAGCAGTGCCCGTACTGCTCCTCCCAGGTGCGCAATTGTCCTGTCCCATGACTCTTGGGTCCACAGAAAACTTATCCCGAGATGCGCTAATGCATTGTCTAATCCCACAATGGTCCTTTCCCTCAAATCCTGCCCTTTTCTGACACTCTTCAAAACTCCAACCCCGCGCTGCAAGTTATTTGGCAGGTCTGGAACGTGTTTGCACTGTTGAACACCACTCCAACCAAAATCATCGTGTGCAACCTGCTGAATAAGTACAACGTCATGTTCCCAGAGATGGTCTTCTACGTCTGCACCATGGTACGCGCTGCTGCCTTGCACTTCCTCATCATTCTTGCTTCCTTTCCCCTCTCCCTCCCACCGCCTGTCTCCTCCCCCCTTCTCCGCCTACCTTTCCCCCTGTCTCTCCTACCTGCCTTCTCTGTTTCAATTTCCCATTGACGTCATACAGGGTTGCCGTACTGTGTTGATCCTCTCCCCTCTGCACGTGCAGGGCCATCTGTACGGCCTGAGACGGCTTGGGCATGACGACATGGCAGGGAGCAGCACAGGGGTGGCGGAAGTGGAGGTGCAGATTTCTCTGCCAGCCGCGCACGAGCGCATGGAGGGCAGTGAGAGCGACCATGGCAGCTCGGACGATGAGGAGGTGGAGGAGGATAGGGAAGTGTTGGACGGGGTGTTGGAGAGGGTGATGGAAGGGGTGGTGCAGGGGGTTTTGGGGGTGTTGGAGGAGGAAGGAGCTGCTGACATCGTAAGCATCCGCCTTGCTGCCAACTCGCTTAGTGATTCTTATACTTATTTTGATTTCTTTAATGGCCACGCTGCCTGCTTCCCTCGTCAGTTGGTGTGCGGTGTTGTCCCGTTTGGTGTCTGTGGCTCTATGCTGCTGTCCGAGTGGTACAGGATGGTGTTGGCGCATGACAGGTGGCTGTGGCTTGAAGCATGACAGGTGGCAGGTGCTTGAAGCATGACAGGTGGCAGGGGAAGAAAATATTGGTTCAAGCATTCGCCCAGCTGCTATCGGTGTTGCTCTGATTGCTGCCTGATTCTTCTTATGCTGCACTTGCCTCAGTCCTCCATCTTCTTTTCCCCTAATAAACCCACCTTTTCCTTCTACCCGAATTTCTCATCTCACTAACCCACTGGACGCAGTCTGAGCCTGGCACTCCCACTAGCGGAGCAGAAGCTGCTGCACGCACCGTCCCTGCTGCTGCTGCCGGGCCAGCTGCCACACCTGAGCATGCACAGGCAGATGTGGTGGAGCCTGCTGCTAGTACTGCTGCAGCACCGCATGCACCCAGTGTTCCTCCTGTGGCAGTCGCTGTGCCGTCCCCTATCAGTGGTGCTACCGCGGCTGCAGCAGCAGACTCTGCCAGTCCGCTTCCCACGGCAGCAGCTGCTCCGCATGGACATCTGTTAGAGGCACCACAACCAGGTAAGCCCCCTCGGGCCCTCCTGGCATGCCCCTTGTTATTTCTGCATGCTAAATTGCTCTGGTTTCTTGAGAACCTATAGTTGGATGCTCACATTCGCCTCGCCTCATTGTCCCACCCATTCCCTTGGGTGTGGCGTGTCTTGCCTTTGCACCTCTCCTCCTTCCCTGCCTGCCTGTCCCCGCACCTCCCCTCCAGCAAAGGGCGGCAGTGCTGCTGCACCTCTCAGCACCATGGTTGATGCCCTGTCTCTGACCACACATGCGACAGCACCACCACGCTCTGCGTCCTCTGCAGCTGCAAGCAAGGCGGCAGCTCCTGAGGAGTAGCTGAGTAGCTGACAAGTACCGTACTGTGTTTGCAACGTTTGACTGCAGCTGTTGCCATGAGTCTGCACCTGCTGCACCTACACATCTACTACTCTGCTGCATTGGAGGATGCTGGTGCTCATTGGTAGTGCTGTATTTCTGTGTTGGAAGTTGAGGGCGATTCACCTTCGGAGAAGTATCGTAGCCCACATTCTTTGTGGGACTCTCTGCGAATATGCGTTCTAGGATGCAGTGTTTTGTGCACCACAACACTCTGAAATGAATATCAATCGCCTCGGATTTGGCTTCTGGAAAGATGGGCAAGAGCTGACTATGGTGGATAGACCTGCCTTAGAGGGGCATGGGGGTGGAGGGGAAACGATAGGGGCAGGTGGGGAGGTGGGGGGAGGGGGATGATTATGGCAAGGGCACAATAGCAACCGTTGGGAAGGGCGTGGGGAGGTGGGGAGGGGTTGGGGGAGGGGTGGGGGGATGGTTCTAATTCAGGCAACCAGTCACCACCAAGTGTAATGGTCAAACAGAGGATGCATTGAACCTTCTACAAGACGTCCTTGAGATCCACCTGTTCACACAAGCTCTAATTTTCAATCTTGCGCACCACCATACAGTGCTAAGGTCGCCATTGGCTGCAACCAGTAGCCTCTAGCAGTGCTAGGGGCTGCTTAAAGGTGAATGCGCGTGGCAGTCCACTCGTACCCTCTCCCCCCTGCCCCACCCTCTTTCCCCTCGTCTGCCATGAGCCTTGTGTGTCGGTGGCGAGAGGGCGTTTTCACGTGCACGTAGTCCACCTGCACGGGGGATCACAAGAAGCAGAGGCGTGATTGAGTGTGCAAGCTTAGACCCACGGTACCTGTAAGCAACGTGTCAGCCTGTGAGCCTGTGAGCCCGTGAGTCCGTGAGCGTGTGAGCCTATCACCATACCTCAAGGGGCTCCAGCAGCAGCAGGCAGAAGTCCTCCACGGGCTCAACAGAGGCAACCTTATCCGGGTCCACCTTATCACGCTCAGCCTTATTCTCCGCACTCGCCCCCTCTGCATCTCGCTGTGTCAGCAACGCCAGTGCTGCCAGCGATGACTCGTGCCCATCAGGCCGCCCTGCTGCGCTCTCTTCCTCCCAGGGCGTGCCTGGGTGCCCTCGGCAGTACTGCCAGCGCTGCTGCGCTGTCAGCGGCTGCCATGCCGCATGCCTCAGCTGGGGAGAGGAAGGGCGGGGCCCAGCAAATGCAGGGAAAAGTGAACTGAGCTATGGGGCGAGGGTGGCGGTGGAGGGAAGGAGGCTTTGGTCTTGGAGCGGGAGGAAATGGAGGGACATTGTGGGACATGGTGAGGAGCGGGTATGAAGGAAAAAGCATGGGGATGCAGGAAAAGAATGGGTTAAAGGGGGATGTAAGGGGAAGGAAATGCACTGGGAAAGGAAAGATGGGGTGAGGAAAGGTGAGAGAAGAGTGAGTGGAAGCAGAGGAGAGATGGCCGTCATGTGGTGAACAGGAGGCAGGACTAGGGACGAGGTGCACATTGCAAGGGGCGAAGAGCGCCCATGGGGCTTGAGAGATCAAGCCATGATCAGAGGGTAAGAGTGGGTGAGGGACATGGATTGAGCACATGATGAAGGTGGGTACAAGTGCGTGGGGGAGATGGGCATGCTATCCTTGTGCATGTCTGTACTTGCTCGGATCTAATACACGGACCGCTTGAGTGGAGGAAACTAACGAGGGGGGGCAAAGGCAGCGGGGCGCAAGGGAGGGAGATGCTAAGGAAGTGCAGAGCAAGTGAGAAGGGATGATGGGGAAGGGAGGCACCTTCAAGAGCGAAGGGTCGGGCGAGTTGGCATGGACGGTGGTCATGCTGCCAGCAATGCGGTACTGCTCCCATGACTCGGAGAAATACCAGCACAGCTGCGTGGGCGCGAGGGGCAGTCACATGCACAAGGGGAGCCATTTGAAGCACACGGGGAGCACTGTGAGAGAGGATACAGGCGGGCATGTTGCATGAGGAGGACATGGGACATGATGGGCGAATGAGGCGAGAGAAGCAAGTGGAGAGGGCAATCGGGGTGACGAATCCATCAATGAGCAAGTGGCATGGACGGGATGGATTCACCACTGGTGTACCTCGATGAGCGACCACTGCTCGATCTCCTTGACCTGCATGGGTAGTGCCGTCACAAAGAGAGAGGCGAGACAGACATGCACGGCGCATGAGTGTGGGTGTACATGCATGTGCGGGTGCATTGCTCATGTCACGGGGCATGCACGCACATGGGAGATGGGGGGGGGGAGAGGTAGAGGCAGAGGTTGAGGGTACGAACGCACGTGCAGGACAGATTGCAGAGTCAAGAGGGCGAGCAGTGGAGCAATGGGAGGGTCGGGGAGGATGGAGACCTGCATGCGGCTCGTGATGTTTGATGGGAGGGACGAACAGAAAGGAAGCGAGATGTGAAAGGGGAAAGCGCGAGCAAGTGAATGAGGGTAGGGGGGGTGAAGGAAGGGAGGGAGTGAGAGAGGGAGTGAGGGAGAGAGGGAGGGTGGGAGGGAGGGAGGGAGGGAGGGAGGGAGGGAGAGGTAGGGGAAAGGCAAGGATTGGTAAGGGAGGAGGGAGGAGGGAGGAGCGGACCTTGCTGCTGCGGCCATCTGTGTAGAATATGAGGTTGTCGGAACCTTCCATGAAGCCTCTGAGGGGCGGAACACGCGCCAACAACCATGTGGGGTGGCTTGAATTGGAATCGTGTGAATGGTTGAGAGAGGGCGTGCAAGGTGACTCAAGGTGCCTTTCATGCAAAAGCAGCACGGAAGCAGTAATGCGGGAGAGGAGGAGGGGGGGGAGGAGATTGGGGCAGGAGTGAGCATGGAAGCAGCAGGCGCGAAGGGAGGAAACGAGCGCTGCAGAGGCGGTACAGCGATCTTGCCCTCGACGGGCGAGGCCGGGGGTGAATGGCGACGAGTGGGGAAAGAGCGAGGCGGGGTCGAAGGCCGATATGGCGGGGAAGGTGAGGCGGAGGGGGAGGAAAGGCGGGGAGGACAGGTGAGGCGGAAAAGGGGGGTCAAGGCGGGGAAGGGGAAGGCGGGGGAGCCGCGGCCCAGGGAGTGGAAGGGTCACCTGAAGACGAGAGAGCGGTTGGCGGGCGTGCCGTTGGCGCGCACTGTGGCCTGCACGCGGCACGGGCGCGCGCGGGACAAGCGGATGGGAAGGAGACGCGATACAGGCAGGGAAAGCAAGCATTAAGAGTGGGCGCCCGAGTGCCATCAGGTGCCCCAGCAGTGGGACAGCTGATGGCAGTCGCGGGGTCATGGTTGCGGTGCGCAAAGCGGCGAGGTGAATGGCAGGCAGGCAGGAAACCAGGCACGGGTACGCACGAGTTGCACGAAGGACGCGGAGGGGATGTGCGCGTGCGCGTCGATGGACGACTGCAGCATCCGCCGCCACAGCGGCAGCGCGGCGGGGGACAGCGCGGCGGGTGCTGCCATGAGGCGCGCTGCTGCGAACGTTCGGGAGGTGCTTGGGTGACAGTGAACGAGGACGGGGGAGTGGGAGAAGCAGAGGAACTCGGTGGTCGATATTGTGGTGCTAGGGTGCACCGCAATACGAATTATAAGCATTGTACATTTCTGAACATAATAACTCCTCTCTGCCTTCCTTGATCTAGTTCATAATTTATGACAAAAATGATCATCCTACTTGGGAAATTGGCACATGCCTACGGTAAGCTTATGATGCAAAACAGTTGGGGCCTTATGAGCGCCGACAATAGTAAAAACCCCTCTCTCCCCCCTCTCCTCCCCCCTCACCCTCCCCTTCTAGTCTCTACTGGACCCCCGGAGGGTCCTAACAGTTATGGGGTTCCACTATACGGCCGTCGGCCGCTTACGGTGCCGTGCTGCAAACCAAGTTCCTTGGATGACTCAACTCAAGAACACTAGTCCTGCAACAACTCATATGCACTACCTACTGCCCACTGTACAGTACAGCCCTAACGCAATCGCTACCGGACTCTAGCGTGTTGGCGGGCGGGCCTAGAGGTGGACCTTGAAGATGTAGGTGGCCCAGTTGGTCCACTGGGTGCGCGGCACACCAGGCACATACTCCACCACGGCCCATGCATTGCCGTGCTCATCAGTGGTGGCCGTGTGGTAGTCCCCGTACCGCATCACCCTCTCCTCAAACAGGTACCCTGCCAAGTACCACACCACGTGGCACATGCGGATTTGGGGAGTTGGATGTGGGGTGGCTAGCTAATCTGAAAGTACAAAATATAATATGTGTGTGTTAGGGTGGCGGATAAGGGGTAGCGCAGGCACGAGAGGCATGAGGTGTTCATTCACAGAAGGACCATGTGTACCATGCTGTATGAACTATGCAAAGCAATCGGCTCTTGCAAAAGCAGCAGAGTCCAAGGCACACTTGCTCACCAGAGTAGTCATCAAGGGGAGCTCTCCCGGGTGCTGCAATAGTGACGGGGCCAACACGCAGGGCTGCATCCACACGGGCATAGGCAGCAGAGGGGTAGAAGGACGGGCCCGCCAGTGCTGCTGCTAGTATGCCCCTGCCGCGCCTGAGAGCAGAGACATGGGGAAGTGGGGATGATTGGGGACGTATGTGTGTGGGTGCATGCATCACTGTTCCTTATGATCTTGCCCAGGATCCATCCTCTCTTTCTTCTTATCACCTTGCTTCTCCACCTTAACTCCTGATCGTGTCGTGCCACGCCCTCAGCATCCATGCCATTAGCACCAGTTGCAACATTCGAGGCATGGTAGCACCTCCCTGACACCCATCGTTCCCCCATCACACAGCACCACTCACTCCCCTGACACCCAAGCGCACCTGTTGAGCGCCATGGCAGGGCGCAGCAGGCTGTTGCCCTGCACGCCCACCGCTTTGAACCCCTCCAGCTGCACCTCGAATGACCACCCACCACTTGCTGCCTCCACTGCTTCTGTCTCCCCCACAGTCCCATTCATTACCACCTCTGAGGATGACTCTACGCATGCCACCTCTCCTGACGAGTCTCCAGATGCCACCTCCCCCGACGCCTCTCCAGATGCCACCTCCCCTGACGAGTCTTCAGATGCCACCTCCCCTGAGACCTCTGCCCTCAGCCTTAGCCTGATCTGAGCCAGCACCACGGACGACGACCCGAGGGCGGGGCCGAACGCAGAGGTGAAGGCCAGCCACATGGTGCTGCGCTGTGGCTGCACCACCACGGCCTGCATGCCCGCTGCAAACGCGTCTATGGCCGCCTCCCTCCGGTTGAACCGCCATGCCGTGGGGGTGGGCCCCGGTCGCTGCCTCACCGGCATCGGCATGAAAAACGGCGGCGTTTCGACGGCTGCGATGTGCGGCACGACGCGATCAACGGCCTCGGTTGACCCGAGCGAGCTGGTACCGGTGAGAGCAAAGGCGCCGACGATAGTGACATTGGGCACGAGAACGGTCTCGTTGGGCGCACCATTGAAATTGACAGCCATCCAGCCAAAGTACATGGTGCCGTTGTTGGCGGTATCATAGGAGCCATCGGCAGGGACCTTGTGCGGATACACGGTGTAGGAGGGGCTGGTGAGCGCAGGCGAGTAGGGGATGGCAAAGCGCAGGATGGAGGCGGTGCACGTGCGGAATAGCTGCTGCTTGCCCATGGCACTGCGTGCGGAAGGGGGGTTGGGAGGTTCAGAGAGGGGGAATTAGGTGGGAGAGAAAGGAGATACGAGGGGCAGGAGCAGATGAGTGCAGAACATGTGGGTTTTTTGAGTCTGTGTGCATAACATTCATAACATGTGCGCTAAAAGATGGTTACAGTTGGGATGTAGAGCAGTTGGAGAGCTGCACATGTGGGGCTGTAGGGTGGGCGCCAAAATCGTGGGGAACAGATATGAAGCGGTAACCAGGTGAGCCACTATGAGCTCCACTTCAAAGGACCATAGCTTGGACGAGGGTTGACCCAGGAAGTTCACATGCGAGAGGTTTGTCCTCTTGTGGGACACACAGTTTTCTTGTCCAATAGGAGTCTCATTAATCACATGCCATTTTTGTCTCGCTACTGTTCCTAAGAAGTTGCACCCAGGTTTTAAGTGGGGAGAACTTAGAGCTCCTGTGAGTGCAGCATGCACGCACAGCAATCACTCGGCCCACTGCCACTCTAGATGGGTCAACTCACCATGCCTACACTCCCCATCCAGTACCCTCCGCCCTGGGACCTTGCAGCGCAGCAGCACCCAGTACCTCCATGCACACGAACAGGGTGCGGGGGACTCACTAGATATTGGCGCCAAAGTACTTGGACTCCTCCAGGCCGAACTGGTTCACCGATACAAACACACCTGCCGCATGCAGGGGTCATGCATGGGGAGGGGAGAGCATGCAGGGGTCATGCATGGGGAGGGGAGAGCATGCAAGGAAAGCAGAGGTGCACGCATGGTTCAGTGAGGTGGTGCCAGTGCGATGGAACCTGCCCTTCACAACATCTCTGATCTGAGGTGGTACCAGTGCGTGGCTTGCTGTGTGGCTGTGCACATTCTGTGTGCCTTGCTTGCCCTGTGTTGCACCTCTCAGCCCTGCGCTACTGCCGCCACCAAAGCCCCAAGCAACATGCAAGAGCAATGGCTGGGCATGTGTGGTGTGGCGCCGTGCGTGCTCCACAGCTGAGCTCACCATGGGCATCCGTGCCAATCTGCGGGTAGTCCTCTGCACCGCACGCGGAGAGTACATGCAGGGGAAGCAAGAGAGGGGGCCACGAGGAGAGGGGAGGAGACAGGAAAGACGAGACGCGTGAAGCACTGAGACCTGGTGCTGTGGTAGCAGCAAATCTAGCGAGGCAGTGGTGACGGGGGCCATCACTACGAAAGGATGACAGTGCCATAAGAGAAAGGTAGGTGATATCTAAAAGACACACCTGGCCACACTCACTCACCAATCTCTTGGCAGCCCACCTGTCCTCTCTTGACAGCTCACACACCATTCCGAAAGCAACAACTGTGGGGGAGCCATGTGGCGATCTTACGGAGAGTTGTGAGCTTGGATGTGTTGTAGTAGAGCGGTGCTCCCCAATCGGGGTTGGAATTGTTGCCGTCGTTGCTGCCATGTGCAGCAATGCCCCATGTGCAGCAATGCCCCATGTGCAGCAATGCCCCATGTGCAGCAATGCCCCATGTGCAGCAATGCCCCATGTGCAGCAATGCCCCATGGGCACGGCGCGGTGCATGCATGTTTGCACGCCACACCCATGCAGCACACCCGCAGCACCCATGGCACTCACATGCCCATATTGCATGGCACACCAGTGGGGTATGGGGCACAAGCAGCATCCATCCAGCAGAAGAAGAGGGGGAACGGGAGAATGCGGAGTGCACGTGAATAGCCATGCAAGGAGCACACCAGCTGGCAGAGGCAAGGCCAGGAGGAGCATGAGTTAGGACAAGGATGGCGCCTAATGGGGGATTGAACACGGCCGCTGCGGTGGAGAACACGCATGTGCGGGGGCTGGGGTTGATGTAGCATTCACGTGCAGAGCAGCTTGGGGAGGTGGCGGCATCCCAGGAGGAGCAGGAGGATGCCACTCAGGAGTGCGATGCTGTGCATGGCTGTACATGATCTATAGAAAGGAGCAGTGCAAGGAGCGGTGAGAGGTGGAAAGGGCCTGACGTACGAGCCGGGGATGAAGAAGACGTTCCAAGGCTGGGTGGGGTCGCCGTCGGTGGACGCCGCCACTATCACCCCCGACCCCACTGTGCGGTTCCCTCGCTGCCTCGTCTGCCCAAACCTGTCATACCCGTTGCTCGCCCCTCCGGACTGCACAGGTGGGGAGGAGAAGAGGGAGCAGCAGTAGGGCGAGAGGTAGAAAGCAGGACGATTGGCGGGAGAGGGAGGAGCATTGGTTAGTCGTGGTGTCCGAGCGTTGCATGCTCGTGGCTGCTGCAGTCCCTCTTCTGCAACAAGCCACACATTTGCACACTCTCATATTACCCTTTGGCCCTCTGTGCAATGAATTAAAGGCAGAGCCCATGTGTCCTTGATGAGACATGGGGTGCGTGCACCGCACACATTCACGTCCACCAGGCCCAACTTCCCATTCCACATGACCACACAACAGCTGGACAGTCACACATGGCATGAGGCATGAGGAGCGTGAATATTACATGGCCCAAACAACAGCGACATGGCAGGCGGAGGGGACTCACGAGCCAGTAGGAGGAGAGAAAGAAGCGCCTGGAAGCAGGGTCGTAGGTGCAGGACATGTCCCCAATGTTGTCCCCCCGCACTGATGCGTTGTATGGCTCCCGGCGCTGCACCACACTCAGCAGCACGTTGACGAACTGCAGTTGTGGGGGACGAGGCGCGGCACGGCATGGGAGGGAGTGAATGGCAGGGTGTGGGTGAGGAGGAGGAGCAGTGGCAGCTTGAGTTGGTAGCAATGAGTGAGTGAGGCGCGGTCCTTCAAGGGATAGGATTTGTGGGCGTGCAGAGCAGAGGCGCACTCTAAGACACTGGCAGTGCACCCAAGAGCCAGCATATTCAAGAACAGCATAATATGAACAGCAACATGGAACTGCCACAAGCACAGCAAGCTTGCGTGAAAGGGGACTGCCTGTGGCGTGCCTCGTTGTGCGAAATGGTGCGAGTGAGCTGCCGCCCTCGTGTGTTGTACACCGCGAGCGCTGCCACGAGCGCACGGGCGGGCGGGAGCGGAGAGCACACGATGATGAGCCACGATGATGAGCCACGTACAGGAGTGACGGGGATGAGAGTGTGCGTGCGACCAGAAGCAAAAACGTTGGGCGAAAGACACAGAGTCAATAGGGTGGCAAGCGAGGGGGCACATCGTACATGTATGCGATGGCGCTTGCATGGAGAGGAGAGTGTCTCACCAACGTTGACGGTTTGCAGTATGTACCCGTTGCCCACACACAGGCCACCATCCGGTGGCGTCACACGCACCTGCCACACCCACCACAGGCATGCCATGCCATTCACACACAGCAGCAGCAGCAGCGCCACATGAGATCACGAGAGAAGCAACGAAGCTACAGCAGGTGATGCTAGCAAGGAGCAGCGGAAGGTGCCTCTCCCAGGTGCATGCACTCCACCGTGCCGTGTGGTAACCGCGGCCCTCCAAAGCAGGAATGGCAGGCATGGGAAAACGTGGTTCTCATCGCACCACGGAGTGGTTGTAGGTGGGCGCAGTGCCGCTGTTCACCTCGCTGTACTGGCTGATTCCAGGAAACCCCACCGCTGCCCGCCGCCTCACCACCGCCTTCACCTCTGTCTCCTGTGATGCCACCGCCCCCGCCCGCGCCAGCTGCTGTACCTGCGCGGGGGAAGGGGTGGGGGTGGTGGGGGCGTGGGGAGGGGGGAGCAGAGTTGGGATGTGGTACAGCAAAGCTTAGGGTGGTGTGACGGGTGTTGAGTGCCGGGGCAGGGCAGGCTGTGTACATGTGTGCATGTGTGCGCGTGCGAGCGTGTGTGCTTGTGTTTGAAATTTCTCCTCAACTCACGAACTGCTCTAGCAACGGATCAAATGCAGCAGCAGGCGCAGGCGCAGGCGCAGGGGCGGAAGAAGGAGCAGCTGCAGCATCCTCCCCTCCTGATTCCGCGCTCCCCCCACGCCCTTCAGCAGCGCGCATGACCCCCTGGCGCGCCCCCTGCGGGTAGCGGATGCGCCTGATGGCCTGCTCGTTGCGCTGCTCCACTGCCTCGATAAGGTCACTCTCCTCTGCAGCCGCTGACGTGCCAGAGTCGCTGCTGTTGGCCCCGCTGCTGCTACTGGGGGTCAAGTCCGTGCCTCCTGCGCCCGTGTCACTGCCTTGTGTGCCTTGGTCGCTTGCACCATCATTCGCACTGCTGCTGCCTTGCTCCCTGCCCGACTCGCTGCTGCCTCCCCTCTCACTCTCACCGGCACCACCACCACTATCGGCACCACCACCACTATCGGCACCACCACCATCACCTGCACTGCTACTGTCACCAGGAGCATCAGGTGCATCATCCATGGGGGGCAGCATGGCAGTGCCGGCGAACACCAGTCGCTCGGGCAGTGTGAAAACATCCACTCTCTCATCCAATCTGCGCAGCGGAGCAATCGTGTACCGCCGAGACGTGCTGCTCGCCGCCGCCTCCGCTTGCACGGCCGCCACGGCCGCCAGCAGCAGCAGCGCGACTCCCAAGCTCGCATCTCCGCGGAAGGTCGCGGGTCTTTTCAGCAGCGGCGAGCCGCAGTTGGCCCGCAGCGCACCAGGCAGGCGGTGTGGCGACGCACTGGCGCGACGCCGCAGCGCCGCAAGCGGGCAGGTAGCGTCGCGCGACGGCGGGCATCCCCGCATGGCGGTAGCAGCGCGCACGAGGTGAGGGCAGGCAGCCGCCTGTGGACTCGCCTCGCGCACTCACCTTCCCCCAATCCCTGGCGGGCGCGATCGCCGCCTGAAGATGCACGGCGTGGGGAAATGCGAAGGGGAGCAGCCAATGCAAGCGCTCTGGAAGTAGAGGTCGCGCTGCGAGCTCCAGAGCACCGGCAGACGGGATGGATTGCGCAGACATGGAGATATATAACGCCTGAGCGCCCATGGTGCTGCCTACTGGCGGGCTTGGGCAGACGGCGCTGCGGAGAGCGGCAGGGGTAGCAGCAGACTGGGAGTGCGATGGGGAGCGGGACCTTGTGGCTGTCGACCGACGCGACGAGAAGACGGGCGTCACGGGCCCGTCGAATGGGAGAATTGTGTCCGTTCTGCCCTGTCGTGTGCGCTGAACTGGGGTTGGTCAAGGGAAAGGGAAAGTTGGGTGTCATTCGACTATCACTGTGGAGTGGAGGGATCTCTTGCGATGCGACACATGGGACAGCACAAGAGACTTCACTAAGACTGGTCTCGACATCCGCCAACAACTCTAAAAGGTCAGGAAACGCCTCGCAATGCAATCCTATACAAATCACTAAATAATATAACGTTTTGATAGTTTGAACTCGGGAAATAAAATCGGCTATGAAGGAAAAATCTTGTATCATATTCAAAACAATCACATTTCGAGCTTCAATATGTATATTGCATGTTAGATTGCTAAGATTCTAGCATTTTCTATATCTAGTGCCGAGTACACGCAGTTTAACATTTTCACAGAATCTGTAAGTGTAGCTAAGTTAAGAACTATCGTCACCGTCACGACGTTCCCGAAGCCGCCTAGTTCCCTTGGCTATATCCATTCCCACACCTCACCATGTTCATGTTTTCCCACTCACTCTTGTTCTTGCGCACGTTTTCGCCTTCTCCAGCGCGGCCCTAGTGCTCAACCTAAGTTAGCTTTGCGCATCGTGTTTTCTTCAGAGCGTTGAAACTTTAATATTGTACACCCTTGTGTAACGGGCAGCAAAAATGGTAGGCGTGTTCACACTCCGTCTCCCACTACTCCGATGCTTTTCCCGTCGACCATGTTCGCGCAGATGCTACGATAATCCCCACCTCATTCCCCCACTTCCCTCTCCACTCCTCACTCAAACCCCACACCCCGCGCGCGCGAACCCCTGCTGCTTGCGGCGGGCGATGGGCAGTCGAAGGCGGCGCAGACGAAGAAGCGCGGGTTGTCGCTGGAGGAGAAGCGCGAGAAGATGCTCGAGATCTTCTACGAGACCAAGGACTTCTTCCTCGTGCGTCTTTGCCGCCCCCCACCCCTCGCCCCGCGCCCACTCGCTGCCCGCTTGCACCCTGAGGATGATTTTACGCATGCTCATATTTGTTTTTTTGTGCAACGCAATCTGCACGTCCCGAATGTAGCTTATTACTTTCCCCTTACCTTTCCGTTCCCGCACCCCCTCCACTTGTATCTCTCTGCCTCTCTCCTGCGTCTCTCCTTGCCTGTGGCGGCAGCTGAAGGAGTTGGAGCGCATGGGGTCGAAGCGGGGCGTGATAAGCCAGGCGGTGAAGGACGTGATACAGACGCTCGTGGACGACGACCTCGTGCTGCGCGACAAGATCGGCACCTCCGTCAGTCGTCCTCCCCCCCCCCCCAATCGCTTCTTTGCCACTTCCCTTTCCAACTCCAAGCCCCTCTTCTCGCCCTCCACCACTCTGCTGTGTCTCTGCACCCATGTGCATTCCTCTGCACCCCATCTGCTGGCTAGCACAGCACAGGTCTCCGCTGGTACCTTTCTGCAAGGCGGAGGGTGAGAGTTAGGTCTTTGTGCAGAGGGCTTGCCTCCCATAGCACGGATTGGGCTGTGCGTACTGCCTGCACTGACGGCGGTTGGTAGTGATTGACATCCCACTCGTCTTGCTGCTTTCCAATCTCGTGTCACTGCCTTGCATTGCATGCGTTCCCTTACTGTCCATCTGCGACTCTGTCTCTCCCCTCCATGCAGGTCTACTTCTGGAGTCTGCCCAGCAGTGCAGGCAACAAGGTGAGCCCTCCCCGTTTCTTGTTCATCGCACCATGCAGTCATCCATGCATGCCATGCCATGCTGCCATTCTCTTCGCACCATATGCCATGCCTGCTTGCTTGCTGCTGTGGAGCCAGCGCCTCCATCCCTGCAGCCCTGCACATCAGTGCATGTCCCGCTTCTCTACCCACCCTCCCTCTCCCACCAGCCCCTCCTTCCCCACGCCTCGTGCCTCTTCATCTCATTTCATTCCACCCCACCCCACCCCACCCCACCCCACCCCAACCCACCCCACCCCATCCCATCCCTACCTTGTCAAATCCCATTCAACCCCTAAACACCGCACGTCCCCATGGGCCACCCCATGCAGCTGCGGCAAGCGGAGGCGCAACTGACAGTGGAGGTGGGCGAGCTGCAGGCGAAGAAGGCACGCCTGGAGGCCAGGCTTCAAACCGCTCAGGCTGGCCGCCAGCAATCGGTCAGTGCTGCCATGCCATGCCACCCCTGCCACACGCTGCTGCCTTGCTGCCTGCCTTTCAACATACCGTACTGCTATCGCATACACGGCTTGACCCACATGGCTCTCCTTGCACTACTCCCTGCTCCGTCGCTTCTGCATGTCACGCTCCTGGCTCGCTGAATTCACGTGCGTCATCGGTATGCGTGTGTGTGTGTTACGTGCATGGCAGGAGGAGCGGAGCAAGGCGCTGGCAGACCTGGCTGTGCTGCAGGCGAAGAACCGCAAGCTCAAGGTGCGAGCATGGGACACACAGGGGAGTGCGACAAAGGCAGGGCTGATGTGAGGTGCATGATTACGTGAGTGAAAAAAGATGGGAGGGAATCACGTCACGTTGTGGTGCATGGCATACTTATGGTGGTAGTGGCAGCTGCCTGCCTTCCTTCTTCCTTGCTCGCCTTCTTCCCTCTCTCTGCCTCAGGCCTGAATTTTCTCTGCACGGTGCGTGCTCTCATGCTCGTCTCGCCTCCGGTATACATTGTGCTTGTCTGTGTGGGTTCTTGGCTGCGCCTCTTCACTCCTCGTGTGTGTGCAGGAGGAGTTGGCGGAGTTTGCAGAGAATGACCCAGAGCTGCTGGAGCACAAGAGTGCGTCCTCGCTCCTCCATTTCCCCTCTCTCTCTCTTTCCACAAATGTTCCCCTCTCCTTGCACCAGTCGTTCTCTGGTCTTCTTAACTTGTCTCTCCCCCCAACTTTTCTGCCATCCACTTCTCACCAAACCACCTTGCGTTCTGCCCCCGTTCGTGTCTCACATGCGTTCGTTTGTACAGTCAAAGTCACTCGGATAGCCAAGGATGCTACCAACCGATGGACAGGTGACCTGACGCCCCCGTGCACCTCTCTCACTCACCACCACCTCGCTCTGTCCCTCATGTACACACGGCGTCTCGCTCGTGCTGCTTGTGGTTTCCAGCCCACATTCCCACTATGGCACTCAGAGCCATGCACCCATCCATGTGTGTCACGGCCCTCTCGCCCTTGCCAGAGAACATCTTCGCCTTGCAGCAGTGGTGCAACGACCAATTCCCACAAGCGCCTGAGAAGCTCGCCCAGCTGTATGAAGAGGTGAGGGAGTGGCCTATAAGCCAGAATTTTAGCTTCAGGGGAACTGACGAGGAGAAAAGGGAGGAGAGTCGAGTGGGAGATGGAATCAAAGGCTTATTTTTGAAGTTGCTAAATACTTGCACTGGTTGTACTGGTGTGGTGTGCAGGTTGGACTCACCGACGACATAGATTATGTGGAATGAGCATCAGAGCTGGCCATCTTCACTGCATGGTGCACCCCTTGTACAGAGTATACCGTATATCTTAAGCGCCCAATTAGTGGTCTGCAGGGTCAAAAAGGAGTGTCAAGAGAAGATATATTTTTTAACTAAGGGAGGTTGTGTATACATAGGAAACCCTAGGATGTGATGTACCTATATTGTGCACCTTAGTGTAGCCTACAAAACCTAACAACATTCAGAGTAGTTTGACAACCCCAGGCCAAGTTGTCAAACTCTACCGTATATATGCACAAAATAGTGTTAAGTTTGTTAAACTGTAGTGAGGTGCTTGATGTAGGGTATTGGTTTCTCTCGGCATTTGTACTTGTACCTTCTCCCCACTAATCTACAGTATGTCAATTGCATATGTTATCTCTAGGCTGTAGTGGGGCATACTCTAAGGAGTACAACACTTAAGGGTTGCATCTAGGGCGTGTCATGCGGGGTGTAGTTTGGCAATTTACACAATTTTTACAAAATTCTGATTGTTCACAAAAGTGCAGCCCGCACGTACAAAAAATGCATCGTGTCCGCCTGACGCGAAACAACTTTCTGCACGCGGAAAAACAGTCCCGCCTGGTGGAAACCGAATCCAGCACAAGATTGAGGTTGGGGTCGCGAGCGGTAACACTGCCGCCCTACGAAATCCGTGTAAAATTCGGCACGCGCTCACGCCTGCGCCACACGAAAATCTGCGGGGTTTGTGGGGTTCGTTATTTTCGCATGGGTTGTTTTCGTGAATGTCAAAAATCGGGTAACACCTACTGCACACCCCGAAATGTACCTGTACGTGAACTGTTCTAGTGTGCATGGCACGTGCAGCTCACGAAGTTGGACACGTGAAAAAAAACGTATGCCAGAAAGGGGTTGGAGGGCTGTCAACATAGGTCAGGTACTGCAATTGTAACATAGGGTTATCGGGTAGCAGTACCTAAAAATCCATGCGCTTTCGAGAAGCATGACACGCCCTTAGTAATGGTACTCATGCTGGCTCCTTAGTCAATCATTCATACGTTCTATTTCTGACATGGTATTCAGAGCAGGTTCCTCCGTAGGACCGCTCCGTTAGGCCCACCAACCGTACGTACTGCCCCAGGAGCCGCTGCCGTCGCACGCTGCCCTGCTCGCCGCGCGTACTGCCCTGCCCAGTACGCCGTCACACTGCTGCCCTGCCC